TTAATATAAACAGTGGTTTATAGGGCTGTTAAAATTCACCCTTACAAGCTTGTTGCTTTTCTTGAAATTATTTGTAACGGCAGCCCGTGTTGTCTAGCTTACATATTCATCAGCTGCTCTCTTGAAACATTCTCTAATCATTACACTATTGAAAAAGTTCTTGGGTAACACGATCCTATACTAGTATTCTTATCTAAGAAACAGTTTTTTAGTAACAATATCAAATCGCCATAGAGACAAAGGCAAAAAATGTTATTTGAATCAGTTTTTAACCTTTTTTGCATAATACAAAAACCAGATACCTATTCCACTTCCACATTCTCGTGTCCCTAATATGCTAATAGGACTATGTAATGTAGAGTACCCTGGGGATGTTTATAAAATATAAGCCGTCTAAACCGATGTCTGCCGCTAAATACTGTTGAAAATAAATCATCAGTATATTGTTTTTTATCATGGAGATTGCCTGTTATATAATTACAAGAATCCTTGAACATATAATGTTATTATATGTCCGAATACCGCTTTTTAATATTCAAGTCTCCTGTATAATCATATCTATTATATAAAGTGTCCGATATTGATCCCTTTGTTCCTGAATGTTGTGGCGTAATAACTTAAACCTGTTTTCTGTTATCTTAAAAAAGACTGGATATGAAAATAAAAGCTAATATTTTTATGACTTGTTTCTACGTTTAGGGGATATTCACATTGCCCATTGCTAAAAAGTCAAATATATGCTTATATATTTTATTTCTGATAAAATATTGTTGAATATATGGACATTGAAACAAGTATTAATTCATATTGTCTGTAAGTTTGCGTTTAAAAGCATATCGTAGCAACGTTTAAACTTATACAATGCATATCGGTTAAGACAGACACAATCCCGATCTCTAAAACATGTCTGCAAATTTTGTTAAAATGTAGCATACCGACTTAAAAAAAATGTCAATTATCGCCAAAAATGAGTGGCAATACAAATATGTTTTTTATTTTTTTTGTTTTCTAGATTTTAATAGGAAACATTATTCTTCAATATCCAACGGAAAAACTTTCGGTTACATTTTCATGACGAAATTATATATGACGTCACACGCAAAATTATATTCACAATCGCAATAAGGTCATAAAATGTAACACCCTTGGTGATAACTTGTACCTTAAACTGACAGAAAATTCATCGTAATTATATGAATCATATACTTTGCAAACTCAAACTTTTTTCCAAGATTTACAAAATTTTGTATTTTTTATCTATAAATATTGTTTCATACATTGTAAGGAATCGTTGATGTCTTGCGTTAGTAGATTAATATCAATTTTGTATAATTATTTCTTAATGTGTATATAAGCACTCGAAAACATTTAAAAACGGCCGACTTGTTTAAAATGCCATGAAAAGGGAAAAAATCTGGTATTTTGTTTACTGTCATTCAATTATTCTAAATGCGTTTAATTATTCATTTTGTTATCCCTATCTACCAATCAGAATCACCATGAGTGAAAGGACGCGATCACGTGACCAGAACCCCCAGAAAAATTGATGCTTTCAAAGTGACCAGAACTCTGTGTAAAAAATCTCATAAATTTTGGAAATTTTAAAGTGTTTAAGAGGATTTGAATTGTGAAATTTTATATAAAACGGATTGTTGGAAATACTAAATATCGGTACTGTCAAAATTTGAGTTGGATGTTATAAACTTGTGTCAGATTTTGCGGATTTTAACTGTGCCTTTGCTTCGTGTAAAAAGTGTGTTAATATCATGGCGGAAGGGACTGATCCTGTTCCTATCTCACAGAGTCAGAATTTTAATCTGCACTCTGGTGAGACGGAGTCTCTTCAGGTTTTGAAGCCTTTTCCGGCGCCTGGAGTCTCCTTGCCACAATTAAATTCTGAAAATGGAGAAAAATCAAGACACGGGATATTTAGAGTGCTTGCTGGCATTTCGCCAGGCACCTCAGCTAGTACGGCTGACCCGGATATGCAAATGAGCAATCCTTTGTGTACGTCTGCAGAAAGCAGTGTGACCAGCGCTTATCAGATTCACGCTGGGCCAGGAGCTATTTATAGTCCGGACAATTTATGTAACCGCGCTCAGCCAAGTAGTCTCCATGGAAACGTTTTCCCGGGATGCAGCACGGCGACGAGATCACCGTTTGAAACGGGATTCAATATGGCCGCGCCCATGAACAATAACATGTTAGCACTTTTGTTTGAACAATATAAAGAAACTAGGGAATTATATAAGCAACAGCAGTCAACGTTAGATAAACTAACCTCGGCGGTTAATAATGTTATTAACACAGACAGGTCAGCAACGGGAGAGGACGACTGTGTTTCGGAAGACCAATATGAACCAGTCTCGTCCGACGAAGACGAAAATCCCTCTGACGAAGAACCGCCATCGAAAAAACAAAAGTATGAATCATCCTCAAATATTTCGGATTCAAAATTGAAAAAATTAAAATTTATTGAGGCACAATTTAGTAAACAAGAGGAATTCGGTCCAAAAGTTCACGAAGTGGTAGGCTCCGCAGTCAACAAGGGTTTAGTGGAACCTGTAGATCATAAGGCCTCTCAAGTTCAAGACCTCCTGAAGAAGTATAATCGGCCAGAAAACTGTACATCATTACAAGTCCCAGTCGTAAATAAATTATTATGGTCAAGCAAACAAACCAGCAAAGACCTGAAACAGGGAGACAGATCGTTTCAGAGAGTGCAAGGATATTTGACGAAAGGAATGATTCCTTTAGTTCAAATAATGAACAAAACACTAACCATGGATTCCGAGGAGGCAGAAGAGTTATTTGATCTTTCCTTAGACGCATTCAATTTATTAGCTTATTCGCATCGTGATTTATCATCCCAGCGGCGTCGGCTGTTGCTGCCGGCAATATCATCGAGGTACTCGAGCTTATGCAACGAATATGAAAATGTGTCATCGCCAACTCACTTATTTGGTGATGATAAAGATTTGGAAAGGCGTCTGAAAGAGATCGACGACAATCAGAAGCTTGGGAAAAGTTTAGTTGTCACAAATGACAAACCTAGACAGCTTAAGACAGGACCCAGGTGGGGGGCAAAACCTCAACACTCCAGGACAACACATGGTCGGGATTTTTTAGGGAAAAGGGCCCTGAACCAACACCGGGTTGCACACACACACCAGCGCATGGGCAACCGAAAAGTGGAACAGGGCCAGAAAAAACAGCACAAATTTTAAATGTAAGTAAATTAAGCCAGTTTCGTAACACGCCCGAAAATTTCAAAGGTGGGAAAGTGAACATGTTTATTAATAAGTGGAAGCAAATTACAGGTGACAAATATATTTTAGATATTATTGAGACAGGATATAAAATAGAATTTAATTCCGAACCGTGCTTACATTGTCATAAAAAAGAAATAAAGTTTTCTGGTAAAGAGGAAAGAATAATTGATGAGCTACTTGAAAAGTTAAAATTGAAGGAAGTCATAACCTTGATACCGCCGAGCAGGGACCAGGTTTTATCCAACATATTTGTTCGAGTTAAATCTGACGGGTCATATCGATTGATTTTAAATCTAAATAAACTGAATGATCATATTTGTAAAAAACATTTTAAAATGGAAACACTTAAATCAGCATTACATTTTGTTAGACGAAACTGTTACTTTGCTAAAATTGATTTTAAAGACGCATACTTCAGTATTCCTATTAATGAAAATGACAGGAAATATCTTAGATTTACATGGAAGGGTCAGGTATATGAATTTACGGCCCTTCCAAATGGATTATCTAGCGCTCCTCGCATTTTTACAAAAGTAATGAAACCCGTTTTCTCAACGTTAAGAAAAGAAGGGCACACAAATTGTGCATATATAGATGATGTGCTTCTATCTGGCGAGTCTTTAATGGAATGCGAAAACAATGTGAATAGGACAGTCTCATTAGTAGATGACTTAGGATTAACCATACACCCAGAAAAATCAATTCTAACCCCTGCTCAGTACATTGATTTTGTCGGATTTACATTAAATTCAGTAGATATGACTGTTAAGTTAACAGTCCAAAAACGTGAAAATATTGTTATGGAATGTAAGAAAATTTTGAGCAAAAACGCCATCACAATTAGAGACTTCGCTAAGTTAATAGGGAAAATGGTAGCTAGTGAGCCGGGCGTTCAATATGCACCCCTTTACTATAAATCTCTTGAGATTCAAAGAGATTTCGAATTAAAAATGAATAAAGGAAATTTTGATAAAGTCATGCATATATCAGAGGAAAATAAAAAGTGTATTGAATGGTGGATTAACAATTTAAATTGTTCTTTCAAACCAATTCAGTTAACCAAACCAGACATGATAATTGAATCTGACAGTAGTTTAACAGGTTATGGGGCTCATTGTGTTACAAATAATGAACAGCACAGTGGGATATGGAGTGAGGGAGACAAAAAAGAGCATATTAATGTTTTAGAACTGAAAGCCGCGTATTTAGCTATTAAACAATTATGTAGAAATTACTATAAAATTCATGTTCAACTTTTGCTAGATAATACAACTGCTATTAAATACATCACTAAAATGGGTGGTAGAATCCCAAAACTAAATAAACTTGCTAAAGAACTGTGGTTATGGTGCGCTAATCGGGATATATGGATAACTGTATTTCATATACCAGGGAAATTGAATGTGAGAGCTGATGCTCTTAGTCGGCAAAAATTGTCAGACGATATGGAATGGTCAGTTAATTCAATGGTATTTAAACAAATAATGGATACGTTTGGTCCGTGCGATATTGATTTGTTTGCATCAAACAAGAATTACCAGTTACCGCGATATGTTTCATATACGCCTGATGCACGAGCGGTGGCTATAAATGCATTTTCGTTAAATTGGAATAAATATTTTTCATATATTTTTCCACCTTTCAGTGTGATTGGTCAAGTGTTACAAAAATTGGAGCAAGACGAAGCGGAAGCGGTATTAGTAGCCCCGCTGTTTTCGACACAGCCATGGTTTCCTCGGTTACTACAGATGGCAGCGGATCAACCGAGAATATTACCTCCAGTGTGGGAAAGTTTAATACATCCCACACAAACACATCACAGAATGGCCAAAATGGTTCTGGGTGTTTTCAGGATCTCAGGGAAAAACTATGTGGTAAAGGATTATCAAAGCAAGCTACAGAACTCATTCTTTCATCATGGAGAACTGGGACTAAAAAACAATATAGTAGCTACTTATCAAAATGGATGCACTTTTGTGGTTCATGGAAAATTGATCCATTTAACCCCGCTATAACCTGTGTTATAACTTTCTTAACAGAATTATATCAAAAAGGATTAGGATACAGTGGTATTAATACTGCAAAATCGGCAATATCTAGCATTGTATATATTGTAAATAATGTACAGATTGGTAATCACATAATGATTAAACAGTTCCTTAAGGGCGTATATAATGAGAAACCTGCATTACCGCGCTATAATTGCACGTGGGATGTCAGTGTAGTGTTAAAACATATTTCGGATAATTTAAGTAACTCAACAACCGAGGGTAAAACTTTCCTTAAGGATTTGAGCCTCAAATTGGTCATGTTGTTGGCATTAACAACAGGACAGCGTTTACAAACTTTGCATAGCATTTATGTTCAAAATATTGATATTAATTGTGATTATGTAAAAATAAGAATCGGCGATTTATTGAAAACAAGTTGTCAAACAAAACATCTCTCAGAATTATACATTGAGAAATACCCAGATAATGGAAATATATGTGTTGTTAAAACATTACAATATTTAGAGACAACTAAGACCCTTCGCGAAACTGAGGATCAATTATTTCTTAGTTACCAAAAACCGTATAAAAGTGTTTCAAAAGGAACATTAGGAAAATGAATATCAGGTGCGGGTATTGATATGAACATTTTTTTTTAGCAGCACAGTACTCGAAGTGGGTCAACCAGTGTGGCATCCTTAAAAATACCTGTTGAAACAGTGTTAAGAACAGCTGGTTGGAAAACAGACAATACTTTCAGGAAATTTTATAAAAGAAATATTACAAAAAATTTTGATTTTGCAAGGTCTGTGTTAGATAAGAGCAGATAAGCGTTACTAATCATCTGTTTAAAAGAAACATTTTTGTAAGATAAATGAATTAATGTTGTTTGTAAAAATATATACATATTTCATGTTTGAAATGTCAGAAATTACAGTTATTTTCTAAAATTGTTGTCGAGTTAGATTTTACCCATAAATTAAAACTACATCTATATTATTTTATTACTTGTGTAACTGAGACTCCTTAAGCAGAAACTCTGAAAACTCATGGTGATTCTGATTGGTAGATAGGGATAACAAAATTTACAAATTAAACGAGACTTACCTGTAAGTTGAAGTTTGATGTTAATTTTGTTAGTCCCTATCTACCAGAATCACATGCCCACCCATTGGTTGCCCTCCCGCGGAAATAACTCTGCTTTTAATGAGTCTCATTAATCTGACGCTAAAGATCTGGGGGTTCTGGTCACGTGATCGCGTCCTTTCACTCATGTGATTCTGGTAGATAGGGACTAACAAAATTAACATCAAACTTCAACTTACAGGTAAGTCTCGTTTAATTTGTAAAATAATCAGTGAAGAAAACTGAGATTTGTTTTGCTTTGTCAATGAATGTCAGAAGAATGGAAGTCATAACATCATTAAAGCTTGACTTGATGACTTGATAATATTATTCTAGAATTTGTGTGTCAAATAATATTGAACTTGTAAATGGCCAAAAATAAGCTCATGTTTCTAATCGGTTAACTTGAATGTAGCGTTACAATTATATTAAGTTATTAACTTATATTTCTAATAAATTACTATAACTTCTAACTCAATTGCATGCAGTATTCAGTTTATATGTTTAAAGACACTTTTAGAAATAGTAATATCTCCTGGTATAAGGTACTGTTTTGTCCGTTCTCAAAACAAGTGAAACCTTAGGTAGAACATTGTTTAAATACGTTATTTAATAATACCTCGCATAAGCAGTCATGAGAAAAGTAGCATGATTTTTGTACCTTGTTATTGTGATAACAATTCTCAAATCTTCTTATATATTTTAAAATAATAAATTATAAGAAATTGAGAAATATTAAGAACTAAATTATCTGTATCTTTAAATTATTAATGTTTTCAATTATGTCTTATTACCTTCAAAATCTGGAAAAGGGGAGATCTCTCGGAGGCAATGATGACAAGAAAATAACATGAAAATTGCAGACTCGGTATGAATAAGTGTGTATAACAGATAATGGGAAAGTACTACATCCCTGAAATCTCTTAGCAATGGCTTGAATGGTATCCAATCGTCAACAATTTGCCGGCAACAATAATCACGAAAGACAAAAATCTTTGCTTTGATAGGTAAAATCTTATTTCGTCTAATTCACCGTTTTTTTTTTAAGAAATTACGTCTCAAAACATACATTTTATTTTAATAAACTCAATAATAAGAAAAGCTGACTGTTTTATTGGCTTATTTTATGCATATTAAATAATACTATAATCAGCATACTAGGAAAATACTATTTGTTTTGCTAAGTCGTGATATATTAAGACATATGTCAGACACATTATGGTAATTTCAATATTACGCTGCTTCATTAACTCTTTGGTTCTTATCTATTATACTTTTTTTGCAAAGCTTTGTGTTCGGGTAAGAACTTTCATAATGATAATGTGATCATACTTTTATGTTCATTTTTCAATGGCTTCATTGTGTTTCAATGCAATGACGAATTTGTTGCCTATAACCTGTATTTATTTCTGATACACGTATTACCTCAACAGAGAAGCAACACATTTAAAATGTGTACAAATGTCATGTACTGACAAGAATCGGTATCATTTCAAAGGATTCAGAAGCCCTATAAATTCACTTAACTACTCTCGCACTGTCAACATTCTCAAAATTAAAATCTTTGCCACTGTAAAATGATGTATTGTGGTAAAACACACATAACCTTTCGGTAGAACGCTTTTTTAACTTCGTATCATAACAATTAGTTAATAAAAATTATGTTTATCGTGAATATCAAAAAGGTGTGTCGTTGTCAACTTAAGCGATACTTGATGGGCCACACCAATCATTTTCCTATTTGGATTTTCACGAGACATTTGATCAATAGGCAATTTGACTACAAATAGCAAATTATGTCGTCACATATATTGAATCCATCTTACACTCTGTGTAGACATTTATGAAGATATTTAATTACCAATTGAACGTGCTGTCTGGTGCTAATTAAGTTTAGACAAATAGAAAACTATCTCTCGTGTCCGCAATCTTAGAGATACTGATTCACTTATGTCAATTAAAGTAGCACTTTTTTGCAAAAAAAGTTGTTTCTCTGAGAAAACCTGACAACATGCTCCCTTTTCAGAGAATTATGTACGATTTATTTACAATCGTTCAAAACTTTTTATTTTGCCATTTCGGGCCATTTAAGGATTTTGCTTTTCTCTATTCTGAAACTATTATCCACATTGCATTTTAATGGTTGCCAAAATTAAGTTGACAAGACAGGTTTTTGTTTGTCGGGGGAGTTCTAGTGGGTCCCTTTACATGTGGTTTTGAAAGACTTGTGTTTATAATTAACGTTCTACATCGTTTTAAGAATGTCATTCCCATTTGCACATTCTGGATGTATGCCAAATGATTTGTTACTCATCTACAATTTTTTGAAAAATATTTTGCTTCGGATGTCACAGGAAACTTGAAAGAAGTTTTTTTTTTAATGTCCTGCACTCTTTTCCTTTTAAAATAGGCATCCTTTTTTATGGCGAATAAAAAATCTAATCATTCAAAAATAAACTTTATGGACTAGGAAATACTTTGCAAAAAACTTCGAAAATTTATAAATAATCTACTTATCCTACATCAGGCCAATTCTAGAATATGCCGATGTTGTTTACATCAATTGTACTCAATATGAAAAAGCAGAACTAAATAAAATCCAATATGAAGCTTCTAGAATTGTAACTGGTGCTACTAAACTTGTGTCTCTTTATTCTTCAACGAGAGGTCCCGTGGGAACCTCTTAAAA